CAAATCCTCTTCTCCCGTTGGTGCTCCCTGCTTCTTCGTGAAGAAGCCCAATGGTGGTCTTCGCCTTTGCGTCGACTACCGAGGCCTCAATGCCATCACGAAGAAGAACCGTTACCCACTTCCCCTCTTCCAGGATCTTCTGGATAAACTTTCTTCTGCCCGCGTCTTCTCACACCTCGACCTTCCTGATGCTTACCACTTGGTTCGTGTCAAGAAGGGCGATGAGTGGAAGACTGCTTTTGTTTGCAAATCTGGCTCATTTGAGTACAATGTTATCCCCTTTGGTCTTTCGAATGCCCCCGCTGCTTTTCAGTTTTTTATGAACGACATCTTCTCGGACCTCCTTGGTGTCTGTGTTGTCATTTATCTTGACGACATCCTGATCTTCTCAAAAGATCCCCAGGAGCATGAGGAGCATGTTAAGCTTGTTCTCTCTCGCCTTCGTGAACACTCCCTTAAGGTCAATCCGGCCAAGTGTTCTTTTGACCTTTCTGAAGTTGACTTTCTCGGCATGATCATTTCTGCCGATGGCATCAAAATGGACCCTGCCAAGGTCGAGGCCGTTTCCCTTTGGCCTGTTCCCTCTTCTGCTCGCGATATCCAAGTCTTTATTGGTTTCGCAAACTTTTACCGCCGCTTCGTCAAGGACTTTTCCGCACTTGCTCGTCCTTTGACTTCCCTCACTACCAAATCCTCCACCTTCTCTTGGTCTCCCGAGGCCCAAGAGGCTTTTGATTCTCTTAAACTTTCCTTCACTTCCGCACCTATTCTTCGATACTTTGATTTCTCTAAACCCGCTGTCATCGAGCCCGATGCTTCTGACTTTGCTTTGGGTGCCGTCCTTTCTCAGTTTGACCCTGACGGCGCTCTTCACCCCGTTGCTTTTCACTCTCGGCAATTCCGTCCCGCCGAGGTGAATTATGACACTCACGACAAAGAGCTCCTCGCCATTGTCGATTCCTTTACCGCCTGGCGTCATTACTTGATGGCTGCCGACCCTGATATTCCCACTCTTGTTTTCTCTGATCATCAGAACCTTACCCGGTTCACTGCCGCTTCTCAACTTTCTCGCCGCCAGTTCCGGTGGGCCCAATTCCTTTCTGACTTTGCTTTTCGCATTTACCACCGCCCTGGTCGTCTCAACACCAAAGCCGATGCTCTCAGTCGCCGTTCTGACTTTGAGATAAAGCCTGGTGACTCCCTCCACTCCACCAACTTCCTTCAGCTGTTCGAGTCTATTTCTCTCGACAGCATCACTGTTATCGGCTCGAATCCCGACTTTCTTTCCGAGATTCGAGCTGCCACCCTTTCTTGTTCCCTCCTTTCTGACTTTAACGCCAAACGTCTTGATGGCGATTACTCCTTCCGTGACGGTCTCCTTTACTTTAAAGACCTGATCGTTGTCCCTTCCCCCGAGCTCCAGCTCAAAGTGTTTGAGCAACGTCACTGCTCCGCTGCCGCTGGTCACTTTGGTCTTGCCAAGACCGTTGAGCTCGTCTCCCGGGACTTTCACTGGCCCCGGCTTCGTAAGTCTGTGCGTCGCTTCATTGCTAATTGTGAAGCGTGCCAGCGAGCCAAGCCGTCCCGTCACTCCCCTTATGGTTTACTTCATCCTCTCCCCGTTCCTTCCGAACGTTGGTGGGACCTGTCGATGGACTTCATCACGGATCTCCCACCTTCGAACGGTTTTGACTCGATCTTCGTGGTTAAGGACCGCCTGTCCAAACAAGCACACTTTGTGCCCACCACGAAGACGGTTACAGGCGAGCAAACCGCCGAACTCTTCCTCTCCCACATCTTCCGCTTGCATGGTTGTCCCCGGTCTATTGTTTCGGACCGAGGAACTCAGTTTACTTCGGCCTTCTGGAGGCGCTTCAATGAGCTTCTGAAGACGAAGATTTCCCTTTCTTCTGCCTTCCACCCCGAGACCGACGGTTCGACCGAGGTTCTCAACCAGGTCATCGAGCAGTATTTGCGTATCCATTGCAATTACCTGCAAGACGACTGGACCCTTCACCTTCCCCTTGCCGAGTTCACTTACAACAACTCGGAAAACACCTCCACTGGCATGACTCCCTTCTTTGCAGTCCATGGCCATCACCCCATTTTCGATCCCTCTATCATTCGTGATCCCTCTGTTGTGCCCTCTGCCGAAGAACGTGTCGACCGACTTCAGACCGTTCTCGAGGATCTCAAGGCCAACCTCCGGGTTGCCCAAGAGTCCTACACTGTGCAGGCCAACAAATCCCGTCTCCCCACTCCCGACATCTCCGTTGGCGACCTCGTTTTTCTGGATCGTCGCCACATTCGCACCCTTCGTCCCTCCAACAAGCTTGACCAGAAAAAGCTTGGCCCCTTTAAAGTTCTTCGCCGCATCAACCCCGTTGCCTTTGAGCTTAAACTCCCTTCCACACTTAAAGTTCACCCCGTTTTCCATGTATCCCTCCTTGAACCCCGAACGAAGGACATTGTTCCCGAGTTCACCCAACCAGAACCACCTCCCATTCTTGTTAACTCCCAGGAAGAGTTTGAGGTCGAGACTGTTCTCGATTCTCGGCTCTTCCGTGGTCGCTTACAGTACTTGGTTCAGTGGAAGGGCTATTCCGAGACTGACCGGTCTTGGGAGCCCGCTGCCAATGTTTCCCACGCCACTGATCTTGTTGCTGACTTCCACCTTCGCTATCCCTCAAAGCCGAAGGCGACGTCCGGAGTTCGTCGCTAAGGAAGGGGATGATGTTAGGGATAGCTCCTGCTTGTTCTCCACTTTGACTGCACACTTGGCTATTCTTTTGCCTTTCTGTTTGTTTGTGTGTAGCCTTGCAGTTCCCCTCCGATTTTCCGCCTTTTGCCTGTCTTTTCCGCTCCTTCCGCACTTCCGTTTTCCCGCGCTGCTCCGCTTCCTTTGTCTTCTTCGCACGCGCCGGTTTGTTTGTGCACGCGCCTTGCTGCGATTGGTTGCAATTCGGCTGCCGGTCATGTGTCCCCCCACCGGTGACTCATGACCTGCCTGACCGCCCCGATCTCTTGTTCATCTCGCATGCATTTGCCCCAACCTTATACTTGACCAATCCGCTTCTTGGACGTTGAGTCACATTGCTTCGCCTTTGCACGTTTCTCCTGCCAGGTGCTTCGCTTTTGCTTGCGCCTCTCTCGCTTTGGTTCTCTGCCTGTCTCGGTGGTCCTTCTCGGCCCTCGTTCGTGCATCGCCCCCTTCGCCCTGCTCGATCGCCCACTTTTCCCTCCCTTGGCCGCCCTTCGCTGCCAAGTCCGGACTTGTCTATAAATAGCCTGACCCCCGCGATGTGTAGTCGAACCTTAGCGTTCAAAATAGGACTAAATAAAGTGCCTTCTACTTTATTCTCTGAGTGTTCCTCACGTCTCATTTCGAGACAAGTCTTATCTTGAACGGATCTTTGCTTCCCTCGCTCCCTCTCCGAGTCCACTTCGGACTCTACCCTTGCTTTCCCTGAGCTCACTTCGAGCTCACTTCTTCTTTTGCCGTTGAGTCCCCTTTGGACTCTAACACCATACCCAGCACGAGGAGGTGGACAAGAAGATCGCTGTGAACATGAAGCGGATCAAGCGCCTCACCGACCGGCTTGCCCAGACCAAGAAGCGCCTCAACATCCCTCGAGCACAGTGCACCTTGGTCCCGCTCTGCGATGCCAGAGCAAAGTATGTCAAGCTCGATACCAAAGCTATGTATCAAATTCTTGGATCTCAGACTGGCACTGGGCTCAAGTGGGACGACCTGAAGACCAAGGTCAATGGCACCACAAAACAAGAGATCTTCTGGCGAAACAACTTCAAGCTGGAATCGAGACTCTTTGGTGTCAGGAAAGAGGGGAAGCAGCTCTTTGGTTGCGAGATCAGCACCGATGGGGTCGGGTGCTCGATCACCACACTCAGATATAAGATCCTGGAGAAGAAGGGCCCCGATGCCAAGCCGGTACCCAAGACCAAGGTGAACACACTCACTCCCGAGCAGAAGATCCAGACCAGGGTCGGTCCCATTGACGACTCTCGGACCACATGGATCGGGATCGACCCTGGAGTGGGATCGATCTTCACCGCTGTCAATCGAGCACCCGGTCAACCATCCATCCAGGAGCAAGACGGTGTCAAGGTGACCAAGGCACAGCGTGCCAACGAGAAGATCGTGTCGTTCTCCAACAAGGAGTACCAGCATCGAACTGGCACCAGTCAGGCGACCAAGTGGATCCAGAGCACCCACAAGGCCCTTGGTCTGCAGGAATGGATGAGCACCACACCAAGTCCCAAGATCCCTGGGTTGGCTTCCTTCCTGCGATACATTCGCCATGTGTTCGATGGAGACATGCTGGACAAACAGCTGTACTTCAGCCTGACCCGGCGGCGGCGATTCAAGCGACTCGATCTCCACAGCAAGCGACAGCGCACCGTCCACGAGATGTGCAAGCAAGTCATTGACCAGGCAGCAAGGGAGACCGAAGTGGTGATTGCCTTTGGGAATGCATCCTGGAAACAGGGGAAGGGATATGCCTCCAGTCCCAGGAGACTCAGGTTTGCCAAGTACTTTGAGCAGTTCCACCACCACCAGAGACGCCCACCAGACCGAGCCGTCTCCAAGATCCATGTGTGCTCGGTGAATGAGTTCAACACATCCCAGGTGTGCTCACATTGTCGGGAAGCCAAGCGACTCGAGAAGGTCGAGCATCTTGATATCGAGAAACCACACTTTGTACGGAGCTGTACAAGCTGCCATACGCTGTGGGATCGAGACATCAATGCAGCCAGGAACATGATCTCGGTATGCCAGTCGATCATCGCCACAGGAGATCGGCCGAGTGTATTCAAGACTGTGCTTCCGGACCCACCCAAAACAAAGAGATTGCCAACCAGGACGGGAAACAATCGCACGACCTGCCCACTGGGGTCTACGGATCAGCAGACCTGTGTCGCTGATGCCAGGAAGTGACTGTCCCGTTTCTTTCTGGTTTGACTGTACACCGTGTGATCGCTCAGTTGATCAGTGTCCAAAGCGATTGAGTGTATATAGATGGGAACCAGGTCACAATGCTAGTATGGGCCATGCGACATGCATAGGTATGCCCGGCGTAGCTGACAATATCACCGACTTTGTAATTTATTCCGGTTGTCCATGGAGTCGCGTTGCTGGGTGGAGCAGGAACAGGTGCAGGTGCAGGTGCAGGCGCAGGTGCAGGTGCAGGCGCAGGTGCAGGAGCAGGTGCAGGGGCAGGAGCCGGAGCAGGCGCAGGAACAGGTGACGAACCTCCGAGAATGCTGTGGGCGGTGTTAATAAAATCAAAGTCCTTCTGAATGATCATAGACGAACAGGTGAGACCACCTGTTTGAGAGCTCTGGTCTCGCTGCAGAGCCCAGTATGAAAATCCAGCAAGTCCATTTTGCTTGATATACGAGCACAGTGTTTTGCAGTCATCGAGAGTAAACACAGATCCATCGTCATTCCTACCGATCATCGGGATGGGCATCATCATCTTATATAATTGCTGGGGCGAAAGCGTTGGATACACTTGAGCAAGCTGACCCTTCAGCCCTTCCAGAGCATTAACTGCGGCACTCCCCATATCTGTTGATACGGAGGAGTCGTAAAAGTCCATGGTCATCAATCGAATGGTGTCGATTCTGATACCGGATGAAACAAAGGTCTGCAGGCAAGTCAAACCATTGTTATCGAGGCCAGTGGGCAATGATGGGAGGGTGAGAGAGAACACCATCGAAGAATATTGCTTCTGTAGTTTTGCGAACACTGCCGCACGCCGTTGATTAGTGGATGACTCTGCGACGGCGGCACCCTCAATGTCGTAGTCGAAGCCTAGGGGCTTGAGGCTTAAATACATCTGTTCGATTTGATTGTATATTTCAGTATCGGTCAATGATAGATCGAATACATCAGGACTAGCCGCCCCTCCGAATGAGATAATGACGCTGCCACCACTCTGCTGGAACGCAGCTATGTCGCTCTGCATCGACTCCATCAAATTATTGAAATTACCGGTCGAGTCGCCGATCACGAACGCGAGGGTAGCAGACGTCAACCCACACTTTTGTTTTGCATCCATTAACGACGTTACAGCATAATACTGGCTATTCCCTTCAGCCCAAGCATAATAATATGGAGTTATTACGAAGGAGTTGGTCTGCTGGGTCGATGACATTATGGTCAGTTTCTAGAGGTGGACCTCTAGAAAAAAATCAACGAGATTTTGTTTTTTGTTGGACACACTGTAGCAGCAGGAATGTATCATAGCAATTCGTTTTCGAATCACTCCTCGACGTCAAAATATCGGTTCTATTACGCAGACCCAAGTCATAAGTGGACGTGCGATCTCAGATGTTTGCCCTGCAGAGGGCATGACATCGACGGATCACCTTGTCACAAGATCAGCTGCCTTGGTACACCGTTCTGCGACAAGCACCTGGCTCTGATCCAGCATCTGCGTATCCAAGGCTCTGACCCGAGTCGCATGCGTTTGTTTGCCATTCGCCCTCCTGTAGAAATAAGCGGCTTTATCGATCGATTCGACTTTGACTCTGGGCCTGTGTTCGAACAGGGGCAAGTCATCATTCAATTCGAGGGAGAAGTCATCAACCATGACCAGATGGTCCAACGCTACGGAGAGACTCTAGTCGGACCGTACACAGTTCAAGCGTCCGACTCTGGAGATCGATTTATTGACGCAGCATGCCAGCGAGGCGTTGCCGCGATCGCACGGACAACCGCCCAAGAAGAACGCGCAAATGCGGAACTGGGGCATGGCTCTGAAGGAGCCGTCCTGCGAGCAACGAGGCCGATCATGAATAAAGAAGAGATCGTCGTCTTCACCATCTACCCCCTCCATGCGGAAGTCAATGATATCAGATACGCGACAAAGGATAATCCCAGCTTCGACGAAGATGCTTTCAAGCGGCAGGAGAAGCGAGCTGAATATGAGCGCGACCCGATGAAATATCTGCTCTCGCAATCGAAATCGAAATCGCGGAGAAAGCGAGACGACGATGATGATGACTATGACTTCGAAGAAGACGATGATGATGCCGATTTCTGGAAAGATATCTTTTCGAGCAAAACGAGGAAGAAATCGGCAAGTCGGTCTTCCAAGAAGAAGGGAAATATGCTTTATACTCCTGGTCACGGATTTATACAAGGAATTACAATCACCCCGGAGTCATTGGGAATCACTAAGAAGAAACGGAAGAAGGATAATGACGATTGGGACGACTGGGATGATGACTGGGATGACGATGATGACGAGGAAGATAAGCCACGTAAAAAACGAAAGAGCAAGAAATCAAAAAAACGGAAGAGCTCCAAAAAATCCAAGAAGAAGACCAGCCTGGAGGACTTCTTCACTTTTTGATGGTGGACTCGTTGTTTGGTGGTTTTTATGTACCCATGGTATCAAATTCCTTACTGTGATTTTTACGCATTTTGCGGAGTTGGAGCTCGAGTGGACTCCTCACATCCATGGGAGCCATCGCACCACATAGGCATCCGTGTTGCTCGTCGTGTCCAATGCCGTCTGATAATAGAATACGGGCTGAGTGCTTGCCCATGTCATTTGTATAAACGAACCCAGTGTCGCCAGCAGCTGAATGGTGACTGATTTCGAGCCTACCGGGTTCGCTGTTTTGCAAGCTAGGTAGACACAGGAAGTTCCCGTATCAGTCGAGCAACCAATAAAGATCAAATAGCACCCCCATGTCGGACCCGAGGACATCGTAACACTCGTTCCGTTGCGAGGGATTTGGATAGTGATCTGAGTAGCTGGCTTAATGTTGTTGATGGTAGGAACTGTGATGTTGGAGGAGAATGTGGCTGCCGCAGCGACCGCCAATGTACCCGTCAAGGTGGAATTGCCTGTCACTGCCAGGGTGCCGCCGACGCTCGCTGAGCTCGAAAGATTCGCGGTTCCGGTGACGACCAAGCTTGATCCGACATTGAGATTGGTTCCGACATAGACACTCTTAGTCACGGAGAGTCCTCCATTGGTAAAGATCGAGCCTCCGGAGAAGCTCGAGTCGGTGGTATTTGTAACGACGATTCCGCCAGCGCTGGTCAATGCCCCGGTCAGCGTGGACGTTCCCGCCACCGAAAGCGCTCCACCGATACTGCCGTTTCCGCTTGTATTCAATGTAGTAGCGGTGACACCGAGACCAACTGTCAAATTTTTGGCTATGCCGACCCCACCGGAGACCACCAGAGCTCCAGTGCTGGTACTACTGCTGTCTGTGGTGTTCGAGATCGCGAGCGCTCCAGTCAAGGTCAACCCCCCAGCAAGAGTCGCCATCCCCGAGACATAGAGTTGCTTTGTAATCGACATACCACCGAGGGTATATACGCTACCGCCACTGGCGGAGGCGTCGACCGTCGACGTCACATTGATACCTCCAGCAGAAGTCAGTAATCCAGTCAATGAGCTGGTGCCAGTGACAGACAACGTCCCTCCATGAGATGCATTACCAGTCGTCGACATGGTGGTGGAGTTGACACTCGTGCCAACATAAAGCGATTTTGTAATGCCCATGCCTCCAGCGATAGTCACCGAGCCCGTCGTACTGGACGTGCTGTCTGTGGTCGATGTGGTGTTTACCTGTCCGTTCGCAGTAACGCTTCCGAGAGTGGTAGCCCCGACGACTGATAGCGTGGAATTCAGCGTCACTCCTGCATTGAAATTGCTAGTTCCGATTATATTCAAATTACCCCCTACGCCAACCGTACCAGTGGTCGCGATGGTTGCCGCCGTGATTTGAGTTCCGACCCAGAGCGATTTGGAAACCCCCACCCCTCCAGCGACTATGAGTGATCCTGATGTCGTGCTCGTTGCATCGGTGGTGTTGGAGAGAGTGATGATACCGCTCGCATTAAGAGCAGCGAGATTGGATGTCCCAGCTACCCAGAGCGACTTCCCGATGCCGATTCCGCCCGCGACAACCAAAGCACCAGTCGAAGAGCTAGTCGAATCTGTAGTGCTCGAGATGGTCAATGCTCCTGTGAGCGACAGGCCGCCAGAGAGAGTGGTCAACCCTGTCACAGTAAGGGTTCCTCCGATGCTAGCATTACCAGAGGCCGTTAATGTCGTGGTAGTCGCGCCTCCTCCGACATTCAGAGCGCCAGAGACACCTGCTCCGCCAGCTACCTGAAGAGCGCCAGTGGTCGTGCTCGTCGATGCGGTACTATTGGTGATGCTGACCACACCAGACGCCGTCAAGCCAGCCAGAGTCGATGCTCCTGTCACTCCGAGTGTGGATGAGAGGGTCGTCGCTCCTGTCACACTCAATGTCCCTCCATGGCTGGCGTTGCTGGTCGTCGTCATGGTGGCCGAGTTGACCGAAGTGCCAACATAGAGCGACTTGCCGATTCCCATACCTCCAGCCAATGTGTGTGATCCGGTGGTTGACGATGTCGCATCCGTGGTGTTAGTGAACGCTACTATGCCAGAAGCATTGATTGCAGAGGCCGTAGTCGTTCCAGTTAACGTCGTCGTTCCGGTCACGCCAAGAGCACCCCCGACCGTAGCATTACCTGTCGTGCTCAAGGAGGCCGAATTGAGTGACGTTCCGACCCACAAGCTCTTCGCGATTCCCATACCTCCAGCCAATGTATGGGATCCGGTAGTCGACGACGTCGCATCTGTGGTGTTGGTGAATGCGACTACACCGGAAGCTGTAATCGCAGCCAAAGTCGAAGAGCCAATGACGGAAAGCGACGTAAGAGTCGTCGGCCCAGCGCCCAGGCTTGCAAGACTCGTTGATCCGGTGACTCCTAACCCACCGCCGATACTAACGTTACCTGTCGTGTTCAAGGTGGCCGAATTGATCGACGTTCCGACATATAGCGACTTACCAACCCCCATACCTCCAGCTAGAGTGTGTGAACCAGTGGTCGATGACGTCGCATCCGTGCTGTTGGTGAACGCAACCACTCCAGATGCTGTGATCGCAGCCAGAGTCGAAGAACCAGTCACCCCGAGAGCGCCCCCAATCGTAGCCGCCCCGGATGTCGACACGGTCGCAGAATTAACCTGCCCACCGATCCACATGTTTTTTGCGATTCCGAGGCCTCCAGCCACAACCAGAGCACCTGTGGAAGTACTTGTCGAGTCCGTAGTATTCGTGATCGACAGTGCTCCACTCAAGGCGAGACCTCCATTGAGTGAAGCGAGCCCAGTCACAGTCAGCGTCCCCCCGATGACGGCATTAGACGTCACCGACAGCGTGCTCGAGTTGAGGCTAGTGCCCGCCCATATCGATTTCGAGGCTGAAATGCCTCCGAGTACGACCAAAGCTCCAGAATTCGAAGTCGCATCAATCGTACTATTGACATTCAATGTGTTGTAAACGGTCTCGGTTCCGTCCACGTAAAGATTGGCTGCACCAGTCGAATCGGCGATGATGTCCACATCACCCTGGTACTCAATGTTATCCGGTACGTGAGTCGCCATGTTGCAGCAAGATCGTTTGCTGAACTATAGCATCATTTTTGTTTTGCCATAGAATCGGGTCCTGTGCCAAATGCCTGGTGCGCTGTGTGAGGCTCAAAGATTCTCAGCACGACCCACCAGTGAGAAGCCAGCATGACGCAGAGTGATCGATTCTGCTTCTTTTCCTACTCTCCAGATATGCCACCCGGCCAAGGCGAATACGAGTGCGTCGCAGATGCCAGCATCTACACCAGCCTACAGCAAACCCCGAATTGGAGACGAGTACTGAGCCACTTCCACGTCTGTCCATTCGGCTTCGAAGGAAAAACGTACAATTCAATCGAACATGCATACCATGCAGCCAAGATCTCGATCGCGAATCCAGACGCAGCATACGAATTCACTCGAGACAGTGGGAGTGCACTAGGTCGGGGCGATGGTCTGGCTGCTAGACGAGCGAGGCAGTGTGTTCGCTTGTCGAAGAAGCAGGTCGATCAATGGGAGGCCATCAAAGCAGACAGACTCTACCACATGGCAAAAGCCAAGTACACTTCATGCGCAGCTGCTCGTGAGATCCTGCGCTGCACCGGGAATGCAGAGCTCTGGCATCGTCATCGCTTCATGCCCCAGCCCGAGCGATTCTGGCATCTGGAACGAGTTCGGAGCGAGCTCCCAGCCAATGGCGAAATCTTTTGATTTTGTGTGAGCAGAACGCTACGAGATGTCACACATAACCACAGGAGCGTTCATCCAAGGCAATCTCGATCTCCTCAATGACCAAGGACTCACCACGGGAGGTAGTCTGTATACAGCGGGCACCATTCAGGTCGCATCGACAACCGATTCTACCGCCGTGGGTGTCGGCTCTGTGATCACCGCAGGTGGGCTTTCTGTGGCTAAGAACACAAATCTAGGAGGGACACTCACTATGGCAAGCGATTTTTCCATCCCCACGTTCGTGACGCTCTCCAAGTCGCTGAAGCAAGTCTACATCACGGGCCAGACGAATTTGAATGGATTGTTACTGAATGCACTGACCACTGACTGCACAGCGCTCGGAACAGGCTCTGTCCAGTTTTCCGGCGGTCTCTCGGTCCAAAAGAATCTATATTGCGGTGGAAGCATTGACTGCTCTGGTAGCATCACCGCATCGAGCGGTCTGACTGTGACTGGTAACACCTCTCTGCAAGGCACCGTGACCGGTTCGAACGGAATCGCCATCTCCCCACTGGTCTATTCAATGGCTCTTCCAACCAATGGAACGTCCTTCACTCTGACATCGGGTCCTACTTTTGGAGCGTTTCTATTGCTCATTGGCTCCGCGACCGACCAAGGAATGTATTTGATCGCCTCTGTGTGCAAAAGCAATGTCACCATATCAGGCCTAACCCCAGCAGCCCCCACATACAACACCAATACATTGGCTTATACGGGCCTATTGATCACCATTAGCTGGAGTGCGACTTATTTGACATTCCGGTATATATCTTCCAAGCCGGGCAGCACCAGTGGATCGACTGATAATTACACCATAAAATTGATACCATGGAATTAAGACTGGTACACTGCCCAGGGTAGACGCCATGCCTGGGATTCACCCCCATTGCAGTCCATGACCTGGATAGCTGTTGAGTTCGCTGCTGACCCACCCGCCCGATCCACACATTTGGCTGTGTTTCCTGCAAATTGCATGGTAGATCCGCCATTAATGACGTTAAATTGTTGACTTGGTGTCGAAGGGTTGCAAGTCTTGATCACCATCTGGGTGCCATTTTGAAGATTGCCGCCATCGAGGCATTTGCCGCTGGTAAAATCCATAATCTGCTTGGTAGTAGGGTTATAACGGAACGATTGCCCTCCGTGACCGTGACAAGCCCACATGGCCAGATTAGTCCCGTCCGCAGTACCACCTCCCCAGACCGAAGCACATTGGGTTGGGGTATCTGCGGCCGGGATAAGACCCCAGTTGTTGATGAAACCAGACACGGGGATGCCAGCACCGGGAGGACCGGGTTGTCCTGGAATGCCTTGCGGTCCAACAGGTCCAGCGGGTCCAGCCGGCCCCATAGCACCGGGAGCACCTGCAGGACCTATCGGGCCTGGTGGGCCCTGCAAACCCTGCAACCCCATAGCCCCAGGAGGACCAGTGATTCCAGTCGAACCCGCAGATGTGACAGTACTTACCAGCCCGGTCGTTGCATTGGTGCTTGTGATGGTCGGGGATATCGCGGGAAACGGCAGCCGGTGTCGACGACACGATAGAGGCGGGCGCCGGTGCTGGTGCTGGTGTGGATACAGGTGTGGGTGTGGACGCAGCCGTCGATGGTGATGCAGGTGCTGCTACTTGCTCCATACGACGAGTGAATGGGTTGTATTTGTAAGCGACACCGGATCCAGTCGAGGCTGGTAGAAA